CTTTCTAAGCTTGTCACTGGCAAGGAAAATAGAAGTCCATGACTGGTTTAGCCTAATTTGGATTTATCCTCTCTAAGAGGTCAGCTACATACTCCCTGCCCATAAGGCTCTGTGGAGGATAATAAATTCCATCTTAAAGTAGTTTTTCCAACAGGGAAAAAGGTAGGGAAGTTTTGCATAAGAAACCCACTTTACTCCATTCCTTCATACATCCTTTCTTCTTACAGAGCTAAAAGAGTAAGAGTCTGGAGGTGTCTTGGGGCATTTTCCACAACTTGGAGAAAGTCTTGAGTGATAGGAGGAAATAAACCAACTCTAGGAAAGCAGAGAAGGAAAAAGAGGCTGACTCCTCACGATGGTGCTTTTGAATGTGCTCTGTTGCTGAGACAAGCTTCACCACTTTGCATGGTTTAATTCGAAAACCAATAAATGTCTGTTTTGCTAAAGACAGCCTGTCTCACTTGCAAAAGAAAGGAAAATCTTAAAAGTAAGTAACAGTACAGTTTCGGGAGTTTGAAAGCTGAGAATTAATACTTCTTAACCATCTGTGCAAGTTACTGTTCCTAAATGACCTACTTACATACTTTGTGTACACACAAACACACATGCAGATAAGCATACTAAACTTTACTAAAAAGGAAGAGATTTTAAAGTTTCAACTATTAATAGCTGACAACAGTTATCAGTCAAGTTCATGTTATTCACGCTAGTTTCTCATTTATTTTACTAAATAAATCTCACTGTTGGTTCATATTTAGAAGCCATTAAATATACTTACTTAAGTGTTCTTGCTGGCTATTGACTCCATAAAGGCAATGACCAAGATATATATCATATAGTTCCTCCTCAGTTCTATAAGCTGAATTCACTATTTTACTACCTCCATAGAGTGTTGCTAGTATTTTTCTTCCCTCTAAAATTTGGAGATTATTTCTGGGCCACCCTTTTCGAATATATTCTTCTCCTGAAAATACAACCTCATTCTCTCATAATTTGACCTGCATATTTGCAACAGAATCCTAGGGGGTCATTATTTTTTTTAAAGGAATACTTAGTGTGTCAATTATCTTTGAACTTATAACTTCAGGCCCCTATTTAGCATGCCTTCCAAAAGATAAATAATGCTCTCTCCTCAGGAACAAAAAACTAGAAAGATGACAGCAGAGAATTGTGCTATTAAAAAACATCCAATAGCCCAATATTAATCAAAACTATTCTGATTTCTCCTGTCACTATTCGGACGGCATTTAATTATTCCTCTGAATTAATGACTGAATATTTGTCTCAACAAGAACATTCAAATTATTCATGACTATGGATGGCTCTAAGTACAAAATGAAATTTAAAATTAAGGGACTTAAAAAATCTCAAAATAACGAATGTATAGAATAATTTATTAAAAGGTACCTGATATTTAATTAGATCTTCTACATGTATTTAATATTTTAAAACAATTTGGTTTAAGTCCTTCTGCAAATTTCACATCTGATATTAGAGCTCAAGTTTACAACGGTCCATAAATCAAGTAATGGTATCTGGGCTAGCTAGTGTTCAGTGCTCAAAACAAAAATATGAAAATGCCACCACTTTCAAATGGGAAAGATGACTCTAAAGTAAGTTATAACCAAGCAAGCAAATAGTCAAGAAAATCAATGTGAACGTGTCTTGATTTTTATCTAGAGTAATACCTCTTAGTATAAGCTGGATACTACTGGAGGATACTAATAAAATAAAAAATTTTTACAATATTAAGACTGAAACTTATCTAATCAGGACTTCCACATCTGGGGTTCAAATGAGATGTGAAATTCTGTATATGTGTACATTTATTTGGAAATAAGATCCTGGAATTTTTTTTAAAAATTCATCATAATTTCAAAGGGATGTATGATTGAAAAGGAGACTGAGACTGGGTAAGGAGAGGGACAGGAAGTACTGGGGATATTATCTAGTTAATGTAGAGATGTGATTAGTGAAACTCAAAGAAATGAAATTATTTGCCCATAGTCAAATAATCAGCAAGTATCAGTTTTGGTACCTAAACCTTCTTTTTTCTGAGACACAAACAGGTCTAAAAAGACTTTTTCATAAACATACACTTACAAGAAAAACAAATCTGTATGATGTAAGATCAGTGAAGGGAAGTCTCAGGCTGATGATAAGACTATCAAGATGGCAGGTTACAGGCATAGCCTGAGAACAATTCATCCAGAATAGAGAAGGAGGAGAGTTCTAAGAGGGCCATTCCCAAGAAAGAAAAAAAAGGAACTGATAGAGTACCTGAATGTGACTGATTACAACAAAAGGAATTTTACAACTCCAACAGAGACTTTGGAGAATTAGACAAACCAAGTGAAAAGAGAAAAGAGTTGCACAGACAGAAAATATTATCACAGTACATTATATTGAGACAATATGACATAGCTCTAAATGACACATATACAAACATAAGCCCTGAATACTGATCTAATCAAAAGTTGTATTACAGAGAGGATGGGGTGGGAAGGGTGATTGAGGGGAGCTCATAAAATAGCTAAATCTTTATCATACAGTTGTAAATCAACAAATAACATCTACAATAAAATAATCAAGGTAAGGTAGGTATGTTTAAAAACATAAAGAAAATAGTATTTAAAAAACCCAAATAGTGTTATTTAACAGGGCACTATTGCATTTTGAGATGGGTACTCTATTGTCATATGGGGCTGTCTTAGAGAACAGATCAGCAAACTAAGGCCTATGGACTAAATGTAGCCAGTTGCCTGTTTTTGTAAATTGTTTTATTGGAACACAGCCATGCCCATTCATTTCACTCATTTATATATTGTCTACGGCTGTTTTTGTACTATGACATCAATAAGTAGTTGCCACAGAGACTTTATGGCCTTCAAAGCCTAAACTATCCGGTCCTTTACAGAAAAAATTTGCCAACCTCTAGTTTACCGTATTTTATGACATTTAGTATCTGATTCCTACCCACAAATGTCAGTATTCCCCCAAAAGTAATTATGAAAACCAAAACTTCACACTCCACGTTTTCAACACACCCTCTCTCACTCCCTACTAGTATTGAGAAGTAGAACTTGAGTTTGAAAACCACTAAGCTATAAAGAATTTAAAATGATTGTCCCTGGGGAGCAAAACTCAGAAATTGGGTAAGAACAGAGAGAGGAACTACTAGGGACTGCTCCCCTCCTCAATAAGCCTAGAAACACTAATTAATCTTCCAAAGTAGTCACATGTATTTCTTCAAGAAAATTAAATTTTAAAGCAAAAAATATATACAGGAATCAAATCTGGTTAATGATTCTGGTGACTAACAAAATGTATGATTACATTTTCTAGATATAAATTGTGACATCTGTTGTATTAGCTCTGGATAGTATTTTGGTTGCACACATCTAAAGCTGCTAGGTAAACGACTTTCAGATAAGAAGGGCATCACTGTGCTAACTGAATGTGTGCGTCACACTTCAACCTTTGGTCACAAGAAAAGTCAGCCCATCTAGCACATTCTACAAATGATCTTCAGTGAAGTTTTCAATGTTTAACAGAAAAAGCCAAATAGACAAAATGTTTAATAACCATTACTCTCATAAGAAAACATTAAAAGTTTTCAAAGACATATGTAGCAAATTTTTAAAAATTGTTTTAATTTTCTTTGTTTTCTTTTTGAATTAATAGTATGATCAACACTTCCACTGAGTACTTTCAATTTAGTATTTTATTTGAAAAATGTGATGTTGTATATCTGTCATATGTTATACCCACAAAAGAAATAACATACCTAAAGATAAACAATATCCTTAGGTTTCACTAATTCTTAAAATGTTCTAATTACTACTTATTTCCAATTCAACTAAATTTTATTTTATTTTTATGTAATTTTTTTAAATCCTCACCCAAGGATATATTTATTGATTTTAGAGAGAGAAGAATGTAGGAAGGGAGGGAGTTTCAAGAGGAGCAAGAGAGAGAAACATCATTGTTAAAAACATTGATCATCTGCCTCCTGTATGCACTCTGACAGGGGATCACACCTGAAACCCAGGTACATGTGCCCTGACCAGGGATCAAACCCACAACCTTTTGGTGCATGGGACAATGCTCCAACCAACTGAGCTACTCAGCCAGGGCCACCTCAACTAAATTTTAAAATTGTTTGATCTTCCCATACATAGGAAAAAGTTTAAGTATATATTTTGTTAATAGGGACCTGAACAATAAGAATCAAAAAGGTTTTAAAATGTGAAAAAAACATAATTTACTACATACACTAAAAATCTAAGATACTAGATTTAACAATACACATTTTTAAAAGTATAAACAACACTCTTCAGGAGTTAACAGTACATTGTATTTTTTTTAAAAAAAGGTATTTATTCTCTTGAACTTTATAAAGAAAACATTACACTGGTAAAGCATATTTTGAAATGTATAGGATGATGCAGCTAGTTGAGTAGTTATGAAAATAATCCTAAAACATCAAAATAAACATTTTAATATTACAGTATGGAGAATACAATCTTCAGAGGCTTATTTTACTGTAGAGATTCAGCTGTTGAATTGTAACTTATAAGAAATAGATTAAAACTTTTATCTCTTAAAGTAATTATAAAATTATAACAGCTGGGCTAACCCAGCTTTCTTTTAAAAGAAACACACACAAAAAAAATGCCTTTTATAAAATGCTAATATACTTATAATCCTGGGAATTTGGTTTACATTATGACTGAAAATAGAATCTAATAGCTTTGAAAATATGGATTTAAAAATGGAGAAAAAATGTTTTTAGGCATCATCTTTTTAATTTATTTAAAAGTAAAATTGGCACAAGGAAAAATAAAATATTATTCCCCTTTCCATTCAAAAGATCCTGAAATCTGTTTGTCATTAATTTAGGTAACATTTGACATAAATCTGTGGCATTTACATACACACAGAAAGCATTTTTAGAATAAAAACACTTAAAAGGTTAAAAGCTTTGATTATCAACTTACCTTTTTTTGATACCAGACTATAGCATCAGTGACTTTGGACGCCATTTATTCCACTGAAATCACACATTCGTCATTTTAAGCTGCACAAGAGAAAAAAACATACTAATGACTTTACTTCCACCTTCCAAAAGGAAACTGAGCAACATGCATATCTAGCACTCTGGTTACTTGTAGAGCAAAGGGTGTATGACTACACTTATATTACACCCTTCCTCATTACTATTTTAGCAACAGGTTCTCTTAAGTAAACAAAATCAGTTGCCATAATAAAAAAAGGATCTTTCTATGTGAACACAACACTTGAATTTTCTTACAAAATGGCTGAATTTTTTTTTAAATTAGCTTTTTAAATAATTTCAGAATTTCCTAGGTTATACTGGAAATTTTTCATTTATAAATTCATTATGATAGGAATTCACTTAGTAATAGATAAATTTTGCTGTAGTTTCTACCTAGGAACTGGTGTCAATTGCTGTAGCTAAAGGATGGTTTGATAGAGATACCAAAATTTATAATCATATTTCATTTTCCCTGACACTCAGTAAACACAAAATTGAACTAAAATCAGATAACTAGAGAAATCTAATTAATTTGTATTAAATACTAAGCCAATATTAGAGCTCATTATATAGGAATAATTAATATGAAGGACTTCCCAGATATCACAGTTCGCTAATATTTAGAAATTTACCACAGACCATTTCACAAGCATCTGCTTTGTGTCTAAAACAGTTTTTAGAGAAGAAATAATTCCTAGAGAGAATTAATTCCACACTGATTCCAGTAATACTCTAAGACCAGGCTGGATAGAGGGCACCTCTGGTATGGTATTAAGGATGAGCATAAGGTTCAAATACAGATACTTTCTCCAGAACTCATTACAAGCCAGGATCATTCCCCGCCACCCGGATCTCAGGGAAATCCTGGAAGTAAAGCGCCCTGCTGAGCTGATCCTAGCATATGCAGATCTGCAAATGGAGAGATTCTACCACTACACAAGTTGTTCAGAGTCAATATAATGCCAGATGTTTACATATCATTCTTGGGCACACATCAGGATTCAAATATATTAACTAGTATCAGCAAGTTCAAATATTTGAATGATCAACCTCTAAAATCTAAGGTAGAATTTACTTAATGCCTGTATTTTTGATAGTGTTATATATCAGATTATTTTATTACCTTTCCTAAGACACTGATTCCATCTTTAACTGATCAAATTCAAGCAAATTATGTTTTGAAATTCCTGAAAAAATGCCCTATCAATTCTTAGAGGAGGAGCAGAGTTAAAAGACTTGGGTTCAAATACTGTTTCCCTGTATCTAAAATGTAATATTGAAAAAGCCACTTAATCTATTGGGTATCAGTTTCTTTTACTTGTATAATAGGAACTGTACCTGTCCATCTCTTGACAAGAAAAAAATTCTGAAATGTTCTAAATTAAAATTAACAGCTGCTGAACAATAAGGAAGTGACACAACAGTTAGTCTGTAAATAGCTGTAGGCCAGCCCTGACAAAAGATTGCTCATACTTCTGTATATCTGTTGGAATTTAGAATGAATTTCCAGGTGGCTGGTTATTTCTGTGATTATCCAAAAGAGAAAAGAGCCAAGGACCACAAAAGTCAGGAATCTCTTTTTCTTATTTACACATGAACCTTCCAGTCTGCTGCCCACAGCTAAACCACAGGAGTGGACACATCTTTGCAGACTCTGCTGCACCTATCCTAGAACTAGCCCCACTTCAACTTCTCCCATACTCTTTTGTCTATAACTAAAGTAGTAAATCCTTTCAAACAACTATGTATCTTCCCCCTACCTGACGAATAATACCCCTTGCAAAACTCCAGGAATAAATGACAGGACATACTCTTTTTCCTACCTAGCCATGCTGGTGGTGGTTTAGACTCCAGGCCCCAAACCAGTCTTCTTTATCGTCGTCGTTTTTTGTTTTTTTGTTTTTGTTTTTTGCTACCAATTGCCTAATAAACCCTTCCTTTTAAAAATAATTTCGCTTTGGGAGTTAAAATTTTTAATTTAACATCCTTATAGGGGTTTTGAGACTGATACTATAATATACATAAATGCCTACCACAGTCTAGTACATACAGTGGATGTTCAATTATAATTATTTTTATTATTAATGTTTTATTTTCAAAACTGCAATCCAGGAACTGGCAAGTATTTACATTTCCTTTTTTAAACATGGCAAACAATTTAGAGAAGGAATACATGTAATCAGTTTTTAGTGACCTTTAAAATAAAAATAGCTAACTGATTATCATAAAATCACAATGTCAATTCTCAACTACATACACATGGATTATTTAGATTTCAAAGGTCATCTCCACTGAAATTTCTCAGTCAGGTATGGCTACTTCCATTTCCCTCACCAGAGTTTTTTGAGGAAGCTTTCTCTTACTGCCTTAAATCTCCCATTTTGGTTTTTCTGTCCTGGAGACTCCTGGGAGTGATTCATTTACCTTTATCCTAGAGATTTTCTCCCTTGATTCTGCTCGGAGACTGACTATTCAGTACAGTATTACACCTCCATTAAATGGGGTGGGCAAAAGTAGGTTTACAGTTGTTTGTAAAAATACAAATAAACAAAAAATTGTATGAGAATAAACTCTATTTCATGTACTTACAACTGTAAACCTACTTTTGTCCACCCTTGTGGACAAAATCTGTTTGTCAAGACAATTATGTACGTTTTCCAAACTGGTTATAACTCTCCCTCTCTTCCCACTCCTGGCCCCCAAGCCTTGCCAAATGCAAACTACAAAAGATGATACAAAAATTATGAAGATACCAACTTTTTAGTTAGCTCCCTTTTCACGTTACCCAATATTTAGGGTTATTCCAGATTATCTATCAAGATAAAGATCCTCTCTCTTACCCCTCCAAAGTGTAAAAACTATGCATTTCATATATAAAATGTGACACAATACTTTATTAACCCAATCTATTAAAAGTATGAGATATTTATTATATTTGGAGAATACATAAATGGTCACATACATTTAAATAGTAATATTCTTTTGAAAGCATCAATGAAAGTGAGGAAAATGCCTGCTTCAAATAAAATGATCTGAAAGATAATTTTTTATATACTTTGGTTTATACCAACTCCACTTAGATATACATTTCAAAAATCAACTTAGAACAGTATACTAGGTATATAAAACATTCTAAAAATTTCAATTATATTTGTTTGCCCTTATAGAAATAAAGATTCAGTCACTTTTGTTTTAAAAATAGAAAAACACCTTTTATTAGTAATGGTAGAGTTTGCCCTGTAAACTCATTTAATAGTTTTTCCACTGTGTCAACATTTCTATGACACCAAGTGGCTCATACCTATTTTTAAAACAGGTTCTACAGCATGATGAGATAGATTTCTGAATCTGTCAACTGACAAAATGCACTCAAAGACATGCAAATTTCATGAGTATAAAAAACAAAAAATAATAAATCAATAAATGATTTTATAAATAAAGATTATTTTATGCTGGGTAGAGGGGGTAAAAGGGGAAAGTCAGAACAACTGTAAGAGCATAAGCAATAAAATATAATTAAAAAAGAGAAAGATGATGCTATGTCTTTTTTAAACAGCTCTCAAACTGTAAACAAATGTTCTTTTTATGGTCTACTTAGTAATGCTTTTTGCATTTTTTATTTTTTATTGTTCATTTTTTGTTAAAAGTGCTGCTCAAGAATAGTGCTGAAGTGCTGTCCATGTTCCTAAGTGGATCATAGCAGTAGTTTTAGTCATTGGGCAAATATTTCCCAGTGATGATAAAAAACAGAATTATTACATCCTTAGAGAAATAAACACTTCTTATTAACTTCCCCTAGTAATAGTCATGTTTTCACACTCATTCTTTCTGTCAGTGAGAAGCTGGTTTATAAAAGAAGAAAATGCAATTAGTTGCTTACCTTTCAAATCCTCATGCATTCCTACATGTGTTTCAAAGGAAATAGGAATATTGAGGAAGGTGAACAAAAATATATTCGTCTAGTCAAAACATACAGAATATTTGGTGCTGGCTATGCAAAGGTATATGATCTGTCCAGGAAAAGTCCAGCCATTGTTAATATAACAAGCATGGTTTGCACAATATTGATGCAATCTGGTATCCAAGCAAAGTAGACTGGAATGTGCATGCATGAACAATGACTACTTCACTGTACCAGTCAGTGGGGCAGTAGACACTGTTGAATGAGCATGTGTTCCATCGCATTCAAAGTGACTGAACGCGCAGAGCAATGAATCTGCATCAAATTTTGCGTTCAGCTTGAACATTCCTCCACAGAAACTATTTGGATGATTCAGAAGGCCACAGCTATGGGCAACTCATGACTGGCAGCTTCATCACAACAACACACTCACTCATGCATCACCTCTTGTGAAAAGTTTTTTGGTGAAACATCAGATCACCCAGGTGACTCAGCCCCCCTACAGTCCAGGTTTGATGCCCTGTGACCTTGGGCCTTTCCCAAAACTAAAATCACCTTTGGAAGGGAAGAGATTTCAGACCATCGATAAGATTCAGGAAAATACAACAGGGCAGCTGATGGTAATTGGGAGAACTGTGTGGGGTTCCAAAGTTCCTACTTTGAAAGGGACTGAGGCATCCATTGTCCTATGTACAATGGTTCATGTATCTTGTATCTTCCTCCATAAGTGTCTCTATTTTTCATATTACTTGGCTGTATACCTTCTGGACAGACCTTATACATTCTAAAAATCATAGTATTTAATTTAAAAAATACTAAAAGTTGTACTTTATGTATTTTCTATTACATTATCATTCTGAACTTAATATACAGGGGCTTCCACTTCTAGCCATGATGCAGTAGCAGGGACCGATTTAATAATCCCACCTTAAAAACTAAAAAAACTGGATAAAATATGTGACATGTTTTCAGACATCAGGCAACAGGCAACAAAAAGGCAGTATTCTCTAAAAGAGGAAATAAAAAAGTGAGCCCTATGACTTCCCAAGTCTACTGCTTATACAGTTCCTATGACAGAGTCTAGGAGGGGAAAACCGGGGCCTAGTTGAGAAGACAAATT